AAAAAAACGACTACGTATTAGCTGTTCAGTAATCACTTCCGCGACCAACAATCGGAACTTCATTTTTTTCTTCTCCCAATTTCTGTCCTCTGCACTCTCAAAAATTTCTTGCGGTGTGGTCTTCCTCCCACCAACGTCGAAAACCAAAACCCGAAGAATTCCCTCATGTCGTAAGTATTTCCTTGATGAGATAGAAAACTATCACCTTTTTTGTTCATCAGCTAGGTCTCTCTTCAATGCCAGTGTACACTCATTAACCCATCTCCGCCCACCTCTCGTATAAAAAGTGGCGATGGTGAAATGAAAACAGGTGTCTTCTCATCTCATTTCATTGTTCTGAAATAGTGAGTTTTAGTTTCTTAAATTTATATTTTCATTTTTTACTTCTAGATGTCTGATATCAAGCAACTTGAAAGCGAGGCATCGTCCCTTCGCCGTGTGGCTCTTGTTGGAGTCGCCGTCTCTTTCACCGCCACCTTGGTGTGCGTGATTGCTGCACCAATGCTCTACAACTACATGCAACACATGCAATCCGTTATGCAATCCGAGGTTGACTTCTGCCGTTCTCGCTCTGGAAACATCTGGAGAGAGGTTACCCGCACCCAAGTACTCGCCAAGGTCTCTGGAGGAGCCATCAGATCCCGCCGTCAAGCTGGATACGAGAGCGCCGGAGTTGAAGGATCTGTCTCCCACCAAGGAGGATGCTGCGGATGCGGACAGTCTGCTGCTGGACCACCAGGAGCTCCAGGACAAGACGGAGAGGATGGAGCTGATGGAGCCCCAGGAGCCCCAGGAAACGATGGACCAGACGGACCAGCTGCCACTCCAGCCCCACACCACGAATTCTGCTTCGACTGCCCTGCCGGACCAGCCGGACCAGCAGGACCAGCAGGACCAAAGGGACCAAGCGGAAACCCAGGATCCGATGGACAACCAGGAGCCCCAGGAAACAACGGAAACGCCGGAGGACCAGGAGCCCCAGGACAAGCCGGACAAGACGGACACCCAGGAAACGCTGGAGCTCCAGGAGCCCCAGGACAAGTCAACGAGGTTCCAGGCCCAGCCGGAGCCCCAGGAGCCCCAGGACCAGACGGACCAGCTGGACCAGCCGGATCCCCAGGAGCCCCAGGAAACCCAGGATCCCAAGGACCCCAAGGACCAGCCGGAGACAACGGAGCCGCTGGAGCCCCAGGACAGCCAGGAGCTAACGGTGACAACGGAGCCGATGGAGAGACCGGAGCCCCAGGAGGTTGCGATCACTGCCCACCACCAAGAACCGCCCCAGGATATTAATTCCTGTATTATCCATGCTCTTGCATTATTTATATTTGCAAGTCTTTCAAAGAGTACCTCAAAATAAAATTTCATGACTTCATTTCTCCTGTTTTCCGCAAAAAGTCGGAAACATTTTTTGTGAATATTCGTAGATCAATCACAGATTGGATGGGACGGTGTCTGCTTAACATAAGGTTAGGGTACCAAAATTTAAATACAAAATGTACCTTGATTAATCACTATTACAATACTTCGAAACCTTGAATGCACACACACGCGATTACAATGTTTCTAGGAACATTTAACAACAATTTTAGGTGGTTTCAAACATTTATTGGTTTGATTGCAGTGTTTTTATTGTAACTATACAGGTTACGTATTTTTTCTAATGAAAACATACGAAAACAGTTGGTTTAAATCTCAATTATCTCGGCTTCAATGCAAAACATCAAAAATTTGTCAACTGAAAAAGGTGGTGATATCATTATAAAAAATTTTTCAGTCGAAAAATTGATGATGTTTCTCACAGGAATCAAGATAATTGAGCTAAACTTCTACGTATAGATTGATTGTTCTATCACAGAAGGTACTTGTTGAAAACTCGAATATCTAGTCATTTTTCATCAGTGGCAGTCAAAAGACGAATTTTTATCGTTTGCACAAAGTCATATTTTTCTTAACAATATATTATTGAGGTTTAAAAAGTCAAAAAATGAGATTTTCAGAACGATCATTGTAGTGATTCTCTTCCTATCTGTTGTGTCTTACTGTGTAACCAGGAAACACAACAAAAATATTCGAAATTGCTTTATCGGAAAACTTGTTTCACTGAAAAAAACTGGCACAAAGCCTTCTTTTTTCTTGCCATGTTGCCGGGCGTCATTTAATTGCGCTATTATATTCTGAGTGTGATGTTTTGATAAATGGGTTGTTGGATGGCAAGGTGATAGAATCCATCATATCACACACCTACTCTCGCGAGACTTTTGATCTTAATGATAGAAAAGTGTATTGAAAAATAAGAAGCTATTGTTGGTCGTAGGGTTGTTCTTGACGTGGGACCTGTGATAAAAAAGGATCAAGAAACAATGGAATTATGGGTTAATATAGTGTAATTGAAATGCGAGATTTGAAATGAAAAAGGTTATGTTAAAAAATAATTATCAAGAATAAAATTGCTTAGAAAATCATTGGAATCGGGGCTGAGCGAAAGACGACGTTCGAAAAATAAATAAAAAAATGGATACCGTCTTTCTGCTGAAATTTTTCGTTTAATTGAAAATTATTTCAGAGTAGAAAGTATTATCCAAATGCCTTTGATTTTGAAATTTCTTGAAAGGTTTGGGAACATTTTCGAAATTTAAAATGAAAATTCAATAAAATTTTACTTTTTTTTTGGGAATCTCCCGTCTTTTGCAACCGACCAGAAAAGAATTTCAACCAGAACTATTTTTGCCCCGAAAACTTTTCACTAAGTCCTGGTTGAGATAGCTACAGGGTGCGGCAAAAGTTCTGTTACCAAAGGAAGACGTCATAATATCTCGGAAAATAGTCCAATCCGTGTCAAATTTCGAGAGGAATTTATCAAAAAGATTTGTGACAAAATTAAATTACAGTTGGTTGTTTCTAATAGCTCTGTTTCTGATGGTGGAGCTCAACATCTTCAGGTAGCGACTATGGTGGCACGGGGGTAGTCTGCCGGCGAATAGGCCCATTCCGCTTAGAAACTATTTTAGAGAGCACCCAAAATTCTGTGAAAACAAACATGAACATGTGCTTTAAAAGTTCCCGGCACTTAAATCCCTATTGGATTGTGATCTGACTAGAGACAGGTCATCCTTATTAGGGGATCAGGTTGGAACAATTGAATTTGGCAGTTTCTGCTGAACACGTGTTTTTGGGAGAGCAGGTTCTACATCTTTTTGGGTAGTCTAATTTTGCGAATTTTATGGCACGATGACTTAGGCATCATAATTTTGACTAGAATTAGTATTCCTGGCCCACTTGCTTGCTCTCGTGGATCCGCTAAAAACAGTGAAACAATCAAATAAGGTGTACAGAAAGTAATGTCATCTTCGTAAAAATTGAGATATGAATATGAAACTTCACAAATCTACTAATGAAGAGATGGGGAAGAATATGAAAAAATTATGAACCCATGATAAATGCGACAGCGCGCGCCAGCTCAAGTCAAACTTTTGAAAACAGTACTTTTGCCGCACCCTGTAGTTTTTGATGACTATGTTTCAAGACTTGTCTTATTCCGTTTGTTGTTTTGGAATTTTGAAAATTAAATGGTGAAACTTATAAACATAATTTTCGTAGATTGGACAATAATGTTTTCTTTTCTTTGTTTCAGGTCAGAATTCGTTCTTAACAGCCCATGGTATGAATCTTACACAAAAAAAAACCTCATAAGTGCAAAAGACACAAAATAGGGCTAGCTTTATTGGAGTCTTACAAAGCATTGTCATTTCCTACATTGCGCAAGTAGTTCCTTGTGTCGAAAAAACTATCACTTTTTGTTCGCTCACAAAGTCTCTCCATTGACAGTGTACACTCATTAACCCATCTCCGCCCACCAGAAGTATAAAAAGAAGCAGAAGCGAGATGAAGATATGCAAGGTGTCTTCATTTCCATTTTATTGTTTTGTTTACCAAAAATTATCTTTTTTTTTTAATATAACTCTGAATACGAATTTTTCAGATAATGTCTGATATCAAGCAACTTGAAAGCGAGGCTTCGTCCCTCCGCCGTGTGGCTCTCGTTGGAGTCGCCGTCTCCTTCACAGCCACTTTGGTCTGCGTGATTGCCGCCCCAATGCTCTACAACTACATGCAACACATGCAATCCGTTATGCAATCGGAGGTTGACTTCTGCCGTTCCCGCTCTGGAAACATCTGGAGAGAGGTTACCCGTACCCAAGTTCTCGCCAAGGTCTCTGGAGGAGCCCTCAGATCTCGCCGTCAAGCTGGATACGAGAGCGCTGGAGTTGAAGGATCTGTCTCCCACCAAGGAGGATGCTGCGGATGTGGAGTCTCTGCTGCTGGGCCACCAGGAGCTCCAGGACAAGACGGAGAGGATGGAACTGATGGAGCCCCAGGAGCCCCAGGAAACGATGGACCAGACGGACCAGCCGCCACCCCAGCACCACACCACGAATTCTGCTTCGACTGCCCAGCCGGACCAGCCGGTCCAGCAGGACCAGCAGGACCAAAGGGACCAAACGGAAACCCAGGATCCGATGGACAACCAGGAGCCCCAGGAAACAACGGAAACGCTGGAGCCCCAGGAGCCCCAGGACAAGCCGGACAAGACGGACACCCAGGAAACGCTGGAGCTCCAGGAGCCCCAGGACACGTCAACGAGGTTCCAGGCCCAGCCGGAGCCCCAGGAGCCCCAGGACCAGACGGACCAGCTGGACCAGCCGGATCCCCAGGAGCCCCAGGAAACCCAGGATCCCAAGGACCACAAGGACCATCCGGAGACAACGGAGCCTCTGGAGCCCCAGGACAACCAGGAGCCGATGGAGACAATGGAGCCGATGGAGAGACCGGAGCCCCAGGAGGTTGCGATCACTGCCCACCACCAAGAACCGCCCCAGGATATTAATTTTTTACATTTATGTATACTGCTTTATTTATCGTTTCAGCCATTGAATACCGATAATAAAATGATGATTCCCCATTTAAAAGAATGTAACTCGGTGTTTGTCGTTATTATGTCAGAAGTTTTTCTCGTTGAAAGTACCATAGATGTCGTCATTGATAAGTTTCTTTGAATGGATCCCGCTGAAGGTTGTGGAATTGAGCATTTGTTGAATCTAAATATACATTCATATTAAAAGTTAGCTTCCTGTTTTGTAGTCTAAAGATTACAATCGCTTAAAGGTGACATTTTGATAAATTGTGTAGGTGAAGGCATAGTAAACAAATACGTGTTTTCATCGTTTTTAATGTAATCAAATCTTTTATTTTACAATTTTTCTTGCCTTCAGTGTCATTGATATCACTCACGATGTGAACACGTTAGGTTCAAAAGATTATAGCTATATGTGTAATCTTCCAAACTAAACTATTCTCAGTTTTCCAGTACTGGAGGTATTTGTCAGGGAAAGACAAGAGGAACTTCTTAGGAGACCACTTGACTGTTTTCACTCACCTCTTCACTAGATCTCCCTTTCGTTTCAGGCAAATACAGGTAGATGAGAATGGCAGCGATCAGTGCGGGACCAGCCGCAAGAACAAGAAGGCTGCAAAATGTTTTGTCTTCAAGAATTCACAATCTATCAGTTACCTGTAGCCGCCGATCCATGCATCAATGCTGAGATAAAAGAAAGTCTCAAACATGGTTGTTGCTAAAAGTATCCCAGTGGAGAATGGTTGATAAATCCAAGCATAATCAGGATCAACTAGCTCCGATGTCAAAAACCATGCCGGTCCCCCGCAACCGACTCCAATAAAAAGTTTGGTAGCGGCAAAGCAAACGGATACAATTGTTTTGTTGGTGGCGAAGACCACCGCTCCAATATTAGCAACACATGTTCCAAAGAGTCCGACCAGGACTAATCGTCTCCTGCCGTAGTGATCAGCCTATAAGTTAAACTTACATTTAACTGAATAAGTTGAAAAACAAACCAAAAAAATTCCCAAAATTGAAGCGAAAAAAAGAACCAATCCGAGACCATTGGAAACAAATATAGAGAACGTGTCAGTTTCTTGATGCACTTTCTTGGAGTTTTTGTTTTCTCCCAGCAACATGTTTGATGAGAATGTATCAATCAAATCATCAGCAGTGAATGCGTAGGAGGCTGCTACAATTCCACCGATTAGAAATCCTTTGAACGAATCTCTCCAGGATTTTCTGAATTTGAAAAAAATTGAACAAAACTGCAAAAATTGTGTAGAATTACCCATAGGTTGCATAATTGGAAGAAGCTTTGTCTTCCATCATTTCGTAATTAGAAATCAATGGGCGATATGCGTCGCCACGATCCATGCCATGATAGAATAATTTCGAGTTTAGCGCTGAAATACTTTGGTTTGGTCTATCATTCTGCTACAAAACAAAACGGAGCTATGGAAGAGAAATGCTAGTAGCGAAGATCTCACAAGGACAACGTTTTTTCCATATTAGTTCTCTTGTTTTTTACTGCTTTTGCCGAGTTATCCGTTATTTTTCTTTAAAAATATTGGGAACCGAATTTTAGACAGTGAGAATTAACTAAAAACGCACAAAACGCGAGAAAATAAATGCAGAAATATAAGTTTTCTTTAAAACTGTTTTTAAGTTACGATAGTTGTCATTGAGGGACCTTCGGCCATGACCATCAGCATTTTTTTTACAGATTTTGCACCATAGCATTATGGAAATTTTTGAAAGAAATGAAGTCAAACGTGCCTTCATGAATACATTCCGGGTGGAACACACTTAAATAAGTTGGTGTCGGTGGAGTGATAACTAATAAAAATAGCAAGAATAATATCGGAACCCCAGCGGACACTTGCATCAGCATGAATCTTGCATTTCCCAATGGTATGATGTTTTCTGATCCCAAAATCAGTCCGAGTAGTGTTCCAAACGATTGAGAGACTTGCTAAAAACATAAATTCAATTTTCGAACACAAAGCTATTGACTCGTACCTGAAAATTGTTTAGGAAAGATCTATACTGTGAGGGACTGATTTCGATGATGTACAACGGCAGAAGACACAAAGAGCTGCCCGCTTGAAGTCCTATCAGAAAGCGTCCAATCGAGAGAAGCGTAGAAAATGTGACTTCTCCTTAAAAAAAGTGTAATTTTGTTGTTGCAAACCTCGTGCATTGTTTTCTATTTACCCAGTGAAAGAAGTGATACAGCAAGAAAATGGACGCCAACACCAATAGTGGAAGCAACACACATGATGCTCAGTGCTCTTTTAACACCCAGCCATTTGGTGAGGATCGGAACCTAAAAAAACAGATAGTTTAGAAAACTATGACGATACACAAATACTAACCAGTAAGAAACCGAGAATGGTACCGGGATAGAACATGCTCACAATCACGCTCCATTGAGCTAGCCAGTAATTTTCCGGGAGCTGGCAAGTTGGGCATAATCTGACTTCTTTGTAAGCTTTCCTCGCGAGATTGTAGAATGTATCAACAGATGTGTTCACATAGGTGATCTGGAAAATTGATGATTTTTTTTCTGATAAAATTTACCTCATTTTTCGAGGAATCAAAATTTGTTCATTGCTGTTTCTCACTAATTTTCTTTCTATCGAGAAATTCAGAGGACTTCCTCAATCAATAGATTAAATTCAAATTAATTACCTGGAACGCAAACGACCAGTTGGCACAGAACGAAGCGATGGCTGCTAAGATAACCAAACGGCATGGAGGTGTGTTCATCAAGCGCGCTGAAAAGATAATGAATCGAACGATTAATTTATGTCATTATTTTCAAGAAACGTCAACGGGAATTACTTTATTTGATGCTCATTTTAGGCGGAAATTATGTCTGAAAGGTTCCCAAAATGTCCAATCTACTCACGTTTTTTGGTGAAAATCCTACAAAAACGAAACATGGAATACAGAAACTGGGTGAGAAATCTAGTAGAAATGAATTTTCGAGACAAAAGGAAACACAGAATGAAAGAAAAGGAAGACAGTTTTGCATAAAAATTTCCGCTGTAAATCGACGACAAATCGAATAAGGATTGGAAGTTAGAACTGAAAAAATGATACGTGGAGGGTTTGAAACGGTGTACGCGCTGAGGGTTTTTTTGGTTATTACCCCTCAACATTTTTTATGAAAAAACAAAGCGATAAGATTGATGACAACATGTTGTGTTGGGGAATAGGCTGAAAAGAGACTATTCTAGAGCCGCTGTGCGGTGGAATAGCGCCAAAATCAGCGATAAGATAACGTTTTCCCCATTCACAATAGAAACACTATTCTAATTGAGGAAC